AATGAAAACGAAGGATTTTTAAAATAAGACAAAAAGCTGACGAGGCAGTAAAACATAACTTCAAAGAACCAACAGGGAAGCAGGTAAACGAATCGATGTGATGGAACCATGACTGAAGCTGAACTGCTGCTGAAAGAACTGTTCAAGAGTCTGCAGCAAGTAAGACAAGTTAGTAATGAGGCGCAGGTATTTTAGTCAGTCGTTTCTAGTTTTACTCTTTGTCCGAGGCTTTCTTTTTGCTCTGCATTTCTGCCTGCCTGCCTGAACTGTTTGAAAGTGACAGATAGGTGTGTGGTTACCATAGCAACCCTAATGAGCCACGGCAGCAGCTTCAACATCTTTGGATCTCAGTTCTTTCACAGTCTCATCAGAATGTTGTTATTTTGTCAGCTTAGATGACATATTGTCTAAATGTATTGTTCATCAACACGTTCAGCTCATCCAGAACGTTCTTGCTACGACTTTTGGTATCGGTGCAATTTTTACTTTTTGAAATATTTGGATTTTTCTGCCATGTTTTTCTTAATGAATGTGACTGGAGCTCCTTTACAACAATGCCCCCCCCACACACACACACACACAATTTTTTTTTTATTAAAAAAAAACTAAACAATTATAGTTAAAAAACAAAACAGCTAGTCATCACATCCTTCAAACCCTTTGAGAAAACCTTTTACTGTTCATTTCGGCTTTTGTTCTGCTTTAGCTCCTTTCAGCCTTTTTCTGCTAAATTCAACTAGTTTTGAAATATTTTTTTTACTAACTTCAGTCTTTTTTTTTCTGCCTTTTGATATTCTTTTAAATATTCTCTACTATTTATGCTTATGCGCTTCATGTTATTTTCAGCTATTTTTTAAAATCTTTTCAGCTTTTTGATGCAAATTTCAACTTCCTTTTGCTAATTTCGGATTATTTGTAATATATTCCACCACTCTTTGACTATTTCAGCTTTTTCTGCTCTATTCTGCTTTCTCTACACGTTGCTGCCATTTTTCTGCTGCTTTCAGCTTTTATTTTCCTGCTTTCAGCAATAAGTTATACATTTCATCCTCCATACTAAACATCCACACTGTATTTCCACAGGAAACCAAGTCTTGCAGCTAAAATACCAAATGTAAATGTGAGTCAAACAGTCATGGGTTGTGTCAACAGCATTTTTCTCTGTGACACTGATAAAGAAGAAATACTGAGTATTGTAAAAAAAAAAAAATGCAGATAAAAGATGTCAAGACTGGATGGACATGGACATGATGTTTTTAAAGGATATAATGAGTTATATTATTGAACTATTTACATATACAGTATATGTAATTTATCATTTTCAACAGGAAAATTTCCAGAAAATATGAAAATAGCAAAGAGCAAAGCTAGTTCCTCTTTATAAGAATGGTGAGAAATGTGTGTTCACTTATTACAGACCAATATCCTTGTTGCCACAATTTTCAAAAATATTAGAGAAATTATTTGTAACCAGAGTAGATTGATTTTTAGACAAACAGAATATTTTAAGTAATAGTCAATATGGGTTTAGAACAAATAATTCAACGTCAGTGGCTCTCATGGAACTAAAAGAAGAGATAACAAATGCTATTGATTAAAAACAGTATTGTGTAGTGGACTAGGCCTACGTCGAAACTAAGTCTAAGGTCAAAACTCTTGACCTTTAGAACCTTGTGGGACAGGAACTGTCATTTCATGTATTTGAATACATGAATACAGGTTCACCCATCCTGAGACTTTCTTTCTTGAAGATTCAAGTGAAAAGAACACTCTCTTTTTATTATCATTACTATCTTACAAATGTTGATAATCAAAGTGTCTTAGTTCAAACCATTTTAGATGTTGCAGTGAACTAATCAATTTTATTAACTGAGTAATGATTTTTATTCTCATGTTAAAAGCTGTTGCAGAGTAATTATGCATTTTTCTGATTTCTGCTTTTGAATGAGCAAGTGTGTGCATTTACAAGGTTACAGTCAAACGAAAAACAAGTTGTTATGTTAAAACTGTCATGTTTTAGAATCCTCTCAGACGTAAGTAGAGATGTTTTGCACCTGTTTCTTAAACACGCCACAACAAAACCCTCTCGGTCTGTGAGAACATTTCTGACCTGTCTCATAACAATTCTCGCTGTCTCTAACCTATTACGTCACAAAAACACACCCCTTCTGGTCGTTTCTGACCAATGAAAAATCCCAAAAAGTGAACCGGGAAAGAGTCTTTAAAATGTCAGTACTTCCTGGTCTACAGAGTCTCACGGAGTTACAGACTCACAGAGTTACAGAGTTGGAGAGTTGTCAGACTTCTAGAGTTCTGGAGTTCTGATGGAGTGCTGTTGGAGTTCCTGACATGACAACAAAGCTCTTCCGAGTTCCATGGGATTATAACATTTTCCACTGAGGTGAATGTGTGTCGAACAGAGCCTCGCCACTACTTCTGACGAGCTACAGCCATTCTAAGGAGACGCTGGACCGGTAGCGTTAACGGAACACCATATCTGCTGATTATCATCAGAAAGGTAATGGGTCAAGTTTCCTACCAAGCGTACCGAGGCGAGCTGGGCTTCTGATGGAGAGTGTCGGTTCTGGTGAACATTCCTCCCCTCCCATTCAATCTTAACTCACTCTAAACTTCTTTTCATCTTTAACTTTCTATCAAGTAGAAATTCTCCCAGATATTTAGAAATGTCTGTGTAAAATGCTCACCCACATTCATGTGGGTAAAAGATCATAGTTGTACAGTTTTCATAAATGTCTTTGGTGCAGCAACGGAAAAATCATGGCCGTATGATTTTTCCTGATTGATTGCTTATATTGTTATTTTCATAATTTGCCAAATTAATGTAAATGTTTGATGTTAAATTTGATTCTGTAAATAAATGACCGCATTCATTTTGATGGGTCAAATATAAATGACGTCTCACTTTGCATTTCCTTAAATTCAATGCACGTTTTATTCAGTCCAGAAAAATGAGGAACCCGCGTTAAATGATGAATATATCCCAGCATCTGTTCATCTACAATTGTGTTGGCGTTTTTGTTTATTTAAAAAAGGACTTTGACACTATTGACCACACCATTCTCCTTGAAAAACTGAATATATATGGGATTAGAGGATTAGCACTACAGTGGATATCCAGTTATTTGAGTAACAGGAGACAGTTTGTACAGGTAAACGATGTAAGATCTGAATTTTGTGTTAATAGATGTGGAGTCCCTCAAGGCTCTGTGTTGGGACCAAAGTTGTTTAATTTGTATGTGAATGATCTGGTTGATGTGTCAGGGCTTTTGAAGTGTGTTTTATTTGCAGATGATGCCACATTTTTTCGTTCGGGTTATTGAACGGATGTTAGAAATGATACAGGTAGAATTTGTAAAAATACAAACTTTGTTCCAACTTACGTTATCATTAAATTTGGGGGGAAAAAAACCTACATGATATATAGTAATAGAAAGAAAATTATTAAAGTCCCATTTAAAATTGACAGTATTGAAATTCATAGAGATAATGAAATAAAATTTGTGGATGTCGTTAAGCTGACATGGAAATCTCATGTAAATTATTTAAGAATAAAAATAGTAAAATCAATTGTATTACTGTATAAAGTAGAATAGTTTTTGAATGACAAAGCTTTGTATATATTGTATAATGCAATGAGTGTTTCATATTTAATCTACTGTATTGAAGTAAGGGGACAAGCATATATGAAGTGCTATGGTCCCCCAACAAATATATTATTTCATCAGTTGAATTATTAAAATTTTATGATTTGGTTGAATACAGTATTTTACAAGTCATGAATAAAGCTCATAAAAAATATTACCCCCAAATATTCAGTTAAAATTTGTTAAAGAGTCATTATAACTTTAAGGGAATGGAAATGTTTGTAAAACCTCCATTTAGAACTAGTCTGAAGGAGAGCTGTGTTATAATTCAGGGAATAAGATTGATATCACCATAAAAATTTCTAAAACAATTTGTTTTTTGTTTTTTAAGAAATGCACTTTCTCCAGTAATCATATAGTTTTAGCTGACCAGTCTGCTGATTACAAAATGATGATTGATTGGATGGACCTAAAAGGATGACTGGAAGGATTCATTTTAATTTTAGGAACCTACAACTATACCGGTAATGGCTCAGGTAATAACCTTATTGACTGACTTAGGTTAGTCACATTCTGTTTGTTCAAAAATAATAAATTAATATTATCTTCTCTGATCTGGTGCAAATTTCATATTTAATCTTTGACTCAGGACGATATGCTTTGTCCAAATAAACTGAGTTCCTGAACTAGAGGAGGTATTTTTTTTCTTGAAACATCACATTCTTTGATACTCAGAAGATCTTAGGATCACAGCCTGTTCATCACTCCTGTTTAGGATCACAGCCTGTTCATCACTCCTGTTTGTGTCTAAAACTCCTGATCTTCTCAACAGATCCTCCAAAGGACGTGACGCTGACAGTGAGTCCATCAGGACCCATCATCAAAGGAAGCACAGTGAATTTAACCTGCAGCAGCGACGCCAACCCCCCTGTGACACAAGACGGTTATAGTCTGTACCAAGGCAGGGAGATCATCTGCTCAGAGCAGAACCACATCATCCCCGGCATCCAGCCCAGCCAGAGTGGATGGTACCACTGCCGGGCCGGGAACACCATCAGCCAGGGAGGCAGCAACCTGAGGAACTCGCCAGAAGTTTACATCGATGTGCTGTGTGAGAGAGAAGAGCATACCTGAACCCAGACAGATATATTCAACATTCAATGATGCTATTTTGAGTTAAAGCTCTTGTCTTGACTTATTTTTCCAGATGGTCCAATAAACATCTCAGTTTCTGTGTCTCCACGTGAAACTGTGGAGGGCAGCAGAGTGAATCTGACCTGCAGCTGTGCAGCTAACCCTGAAGTCAACAACTACACCTGGTTCAGAAGGGCAGGGCCCCCCGGCTCCAGCTCCATGGTTCAGGTGGGTTCAGGACAAGTGCTGTCTTTTCACTCCATGGGGGAGTCCCACAGGGGTCTGTACTTGTGCCACGTCAGGAATGAGCTGGGAGAAAACAACTCACCGGAGATGATGCTGTCAGTGATGGAGAAGCAGAAGGGTTTGTGACTTTGTTTACAGAGTTGGAGGAGGACCAGGTGCCTCAGACAACATTTAAATCTTAAGTTCTGGGTGTTTCTCTGCAGGAAGTGAGACTCTTCTGATCTTAGCTGGAACTGGAGTCTCTCTTTTGGTCATGCTAGGGATAGCTTTGTTTCTGTTCAGGTAAGTGAACAACAACAGGATGGCTGATTGATTCATATAATTTTTTACTGCAAGCAGGTCCATTTTTATTTATTTCACCATCTCAGTGTTTTGTTTCTGCTTGTTCATTTACTTTGTCCTGACTGACGTATGCATTATTTAAATTTCTGCTGTTTTGTACAAATCCTGGAGTTTGACAGGGTCATTTGAAGTCTGCACACAGTCAGAATTCAGAACGCAGCATGACTTTTAGCTTTGTTGTGAAATTATCATAATTCACTGTGCTCATTCTGTTGATGTAGTTACATGAAAACGTATGTAATTTACGATAAGCTGGATCTTACAAATCATCTACAGCGCTGTAAAAATGATGTTGTGAGATGAAGCAACAATCGCATCTTTCTGGCTGGTGTAAAGTTGAGAGAAGGTCCATAAATATGGTATGGTGTAAAAGTTTATTCATTTTAAAAAAGTACAAAACAATTCCATAACAATATAAAAAGATACAAGAGATTTAAAATGAAAGGCAGCAGAAAGAAGAAAAATCTTATTATATCTGCCCCTTTTTTCAAAGGATTATTTCAATCATAATTTTCAAGTAACGGAACAAAATGAATAACTCTTTCTAATTTTTCTAATTCTAATACAAAAAACACACTAAGTTACTTCATATATACTTTTTTAACAATCCAGTTTTGATCTTTTTCTTAAATGTACACATTGACTTGACATTTTTCACATCACTCTCTAGACCATTCCACAATCCAACTCCTTGGATTGAGGTAGACCTTCCCTTCAGACTAGTTCTGAGTTGTGGTTTGACAAATATCTCTATCCCCTTAAGATTATAACAACTTTGTCTTTTAACAAAATTTCTTTGAATATTTAACGGTAATATGTTATTTTGAGCACTATACATAACTGATAAAATACTATAATCTACTAAATCATGGAACTTCAATAACTTCAGTTGATAAAATAATGTGCTTGATGGGTGACTGTAATGCTTTCTGGTGATAATTCTTACAGCTCTTTTCTGTAAAATAAAAATAGGTTTTGTAAATGTTTTACATGCTTCCCCCCAAACATCAATGCAATAGATTAAATGTGGAACAATAATTGTGTTATACAACATGTACAGAGCTTTATCATTTAATAATTCCCTGACTTTGTATAGTACTGCAATATATTTAGATATTTTTGTTCTTACAGAATTTATGTGATTTTTCCATGTTAGCTGTTCATCAATGATTACACCCAAAAATTTAATCTCATTAACTCTACAAATCTCAACACCCTCAGTTTTAAATGGATCATCAACAGTTCTCTTTTTGTTACTAAATATCATGTATTTAGTTTTATCTAACTTTAATGATAATTTATTAAGTTTAAACCAAGTTTGTATTTGATCAAATTCTGTCTTCATCAATTCCAACATCCGTTTTACATCTTTACCCAAACAAAAAAATATGGTGTCATCTGCAAAAAGGACACATTTGAGGAGTCCTGATACATTCACTAAGTCATTCACATATAAAATAAATAACTTTGGTCCAAGTACAGAGCCTTGAGGAACTCCACAAGTGATATTGCAGAGGTCAGATTTTACACCATTTATTTGTACAAACTGTTTCCTATCTTTTAAATAGCTAGATACCCAGTGTAATGCTGGTCCTCTTATACCATATTTATTTAATTTTCCAAGGAGAGTAGTGTGGTCAATAGTATCGAATGCTTTTTTTAAATCAGCACAGGTTGAACAACTGGGAGATAAAATTAGAGAGGCCAAACTGAGATGGTTTGGACATGTCCAGAGGAGGGACAGTGGGTGTATTGGTAGAAGGATGTTAGAAATGCAACTGCAGGTTTGAGTCTAGCTTGTGTCAGGAAGAGTATCTGAGATAAAATATGAACCACATCTTTCTCACAAATCTGCTTGCTGTGGCGACCCCTGAAGAAGAGCGTGACCAAAAGAAAAACAACATTCTGAGGTGTCAAACTCATTTACAAAAGGGGCCAAAATTAAAACCTTTTTCAAACTAAGGGCCAACTTCAGAAACTACATGAACTCAAATCATATACCGAACATCTTTTCTTGGTTGCAGGTTCCTCAACAAGAGTTTGATTTGTCTCATTTGATGTTTTCTGTTGTGCTTTCAACATCATAATCAAAGGTTAATGAAAAAATTCAAGAGATAGAAGTATATTATGTTTCACATATCATCCTGAGGGCCAGATAAGATGTCAGCAAGGGCCACATTTGGCCCCCGGGCCTTGAGTTTGACACATATGATTTAGAGGAAGTAATAATATGAAGAAGCACTTTGATAACTTTATCTAAAACATGTAAGTCTTTACAACAGGTTGTTTTCAAATTAGGGTGTAAGTTTGAGGTTTTTACATTCACAGTAATTTGGACTATTTTCTTGGTGTTCGTTCCTCAACGGGACAAAAACCAAGACTTCATTTGTTACATTATATAATGGAAAGCTTTATTGTTTGTAGGTAATTGATTTAAAACTGATCTTTGGGAATGTGCTGCTTTTCCAGTTACGTTGAAGTAACTCTGTCCATTTCACTCCCTGCAGTTCAGGTAAATTCACCTGACCAGCGTCTCCGAGTCTTTGACTCTGCACAGAGGAGGTGGCGTCAGGTGTGTTCCTCCCCAGCCAATGAGCTTCTTGCAAGCATCAGCTGTGAGGAAGTTGGGTTTGTCAGGTGAGTTAACGTCAGTCAGAGTTTTATGCTGCAGAAGCTTCTCTAAGGGTTTATTTCAACTGCGATAGAAGCTGAATGTGTTGACTTTCTGTCTGAACGAGCGTCCCAGGGTCAGGAACCTTTTTTCAACACCAGCCCAATATCCATGCAGCCACAGAGCAGGTGACACACAGGAAACTCTTTTTTGGAGTTTGTACAAACTTTTCACAACAAACGGGGACATAACAAACATTATTAAGAAAAAGTCACGTTTTAGTTTGAATTCAACATGCAGCAAACATGTTTTACACCAGGAAATGAGTTTGTAATGAAGATCTCAGCAGAACCTGAACCCTGTCTTTGTATTTCCCTCTTATTGTACGAAGTCACAACTATCACACCTGTATGATTGTGCTGTTTAAAAGGCTGCATCTGAAGCTAAAACTGATTTTAAATGTGCATAATTTGGTTTCTGCAGCTTCAGTAGATTTTAATAATCCAAAATATTCATAAACTTCAGAAATGACCAGAACCTGACGTAGTAAGTGCAGGTACTCTGGTCTTCTCTAAACCCAGCCAGTCGAGACAGATGGCTGGAGATCCTCAGCCTGGTTCTGGTTCTGCTGGAGGTTTACAGGGACTTGTTTATTTCCACTGTCACCAATGAGCTGCTCAGGATGGAAGATTGTGACAAAGTTGACATTCAAAACAATCTTCTGGCTTCCTTAGATAACTTTTCAGTTATGGACATTTTACAATGTATGGAAACGTATTTGTGCCCTGAGATGACATCTGTCTTGAACTGGCACTGTATAAATGAACTGACCTGAAGCTGCTTTATCAGCCTGTCTGAACAGACCTGGCTAAAGATCATGTCTGTTTCAGCGTGGTGAATTATTCTGTCACCTTGGTGCCAGAAGCCGGTGGTGATGCTGGAGACTTCTTCTGCGTCCGACATGAAGAGCTCAGCTACGGCAAGAAAATGAAAGACTCCTTATTTCCATGGTAGCTAACCCCAGACGACTTTACCTCCCAACCCACTTCAGACTGAGCTACTCATTTCTATCACTCATCTAGTAAATGTATTGATGTTTTGTAATGTTTGTCTTCGCTGTGTTTCAGTGACTGTGACAGCAGAGAGGTTCTCACACTGTTGTGTCAAGGTAAAACATCTGATCTTCACTCGTTCATCCTAACCCTCTGCCTTACTTTAAACTCGCACCAACCTATGAACTTTCCCCTCATTCATCCAGTTCCTGCTGCTGCCTTTTACTCCTGAACGGTAAACTGTTGGCTTTGTGCATCTTGATCCTTCTGATGAGGTTGTCTTCAGCCACTGAAGGTTTTCTTTTATACACCAGTCAAAAGGCTGATGTATTGTATTTTATTATGGTGTAGTCTTCGTCCGTACATCCATAAATATTATCTTGTCCCACCCAAAGCTCCTGAACCACTCAAGATAATTTAACACAATGTGATACACAAGACGGAGTGTCACATACACTTTTCATCACCCCAGGGCCAAGGTCAAGGTCACAAGGTCACAAATCAACCTTGTCCCACTAATAACATCTGATCTGCTCAAGGTAATTTAATGAGACTTGATACACATGTATACTGCCAATAGACTTCAGTTCAATTCAGTTTATTTATTAGCTTCAAGTCACAACAGAAGTCGTCACAGAGCACTGAACAGAAATATTCACAAACATAAAAAAGTCAATTAGTAAAAGTTCTCTCTCTCTATATATATATATATATATATCTAAGGAAGCCAGCAGATTGTGATGAATCTGCACGTCATCACAGTCTCCCATCCTGAGCAAGCACAAAGGCAACAGTGGAAAGGAAAAACTCCCTTTTAACAGGAAGAAACCTCCAGCAGAACCAGGCTCAGAACGAACGGCCATCTGCTTCGACCAGTTGGGTTTGAGAGGACAGGAAGGAGGAATGAACACAGAATGGCAGGTCCAGGTGTCCTTTCTACTGGAGGAAAGACAAAAACACATGTTAAGATAGAAATAAGTACAAATACAGACAGGTAGAATGCACGTTGTGTAATCTTTTCATCACTGTAGCTCTATGGTCAAGGTCACAAATCAAGGTCTTTGCTTGTCCAGGCCATTACAATAGATTTCTGTTTTGCTGTTTGTTTGTCAACAGGCGTATGATGAGCCGTGTGCTGTACTCTTGTTTTACAGTTTTTCCTTTACATTTTAAATTTTCCTCCTGTTGCATTCTTCTAAAACCTGTAGTTAGGCTCACTACAAGACATTTTATTCAAAAACTGCAGCATTTTCAAAAAGTTTTGACCCGTTTTGTTGGTCTCTCTCCGTCTGTTTCGGTTCGACAGACTGCGGCAGGAGAAGCTTTGCAGCGGACCGTATCGTTGGAGGCGTGGATGCGAGGCAGGGCAGCTGGCCCTGGCAGGTCAGCTTACAGTATGATGGTGTTCATCAGTGTGGAGGATCCATCATCTCAAACCGCTGGGTGGTTTCTGCAGCCCACTGCTTCCCAGAGTAAGTTAGGCACAAAACATAAATGAACTCTTTACGAGAACTTGTTAAATTAGTTTGTTTTGCTCTGCGGAGACAGAAAGGATCATAAAAATATATAGTGTTTGTGTTTAAATATTGAGAACTCAGGACATAAATAAAAAGAGACATTCCCTCGTCTTTATATTCCCTCCCCCTCTGTTAGGCGCTATCGCTTCGTGAACCGCTGGCGTGTCCTGCTGGGCTCCATCTTCAACAAACCAGTCAACGCTAACGTGGCAGAGGTGAAGACCATTGTTTACCACAGCAGCTACCTGCCTTTCGTTGACGCCAACATCGATGACAACAGCAGGGACATCGCTGTTCTGGCCCTCACACAGCCGCTCACCTTCAGTGGTAATACACACAGTTTAAAAGTAACTCACAGAAACTTGTACAGTCTGATGATGTCAAGAAAAGAAGACAAAATGGTTCTACATATTCCGCTGCATTTTATGACCTGTAGGACATGTCTGACATCTAGAGTTGGAATTGTGTAATAGCTGATGAAGAACCTCAGTCATGTAGGTCATGGTCAATTCCGTGACGTGACTTGAAAAGGACAAGGTAACAATCATTCTTTTTACCACAGATTATATCCAGGGGAAGCCATTTCAAGCTTATATGAAAATCCACAAAATAGGAACAACACTCAGATCCATCGTCAACAGCATCAACTCTGACGTAATACTGCAGAACATCTTGCTGGTATTTTAGCACATCTTGTTACAAACACGTCATTTCACACAGAACTCCATGGACTTTGCAAACAAAGTTAAACATCTGAAGATGGCTCCAGGAGAAACTTGTATCTGTGGATGTCACTTCACTTTTCACACCCGCATCAGAGGTGGTAGAAACTGTCAGGACACGTCTTCAACAAGATTATGACCTCAGCAACAGGACCGATTTCTCTCTGGATCAGATCTGTGCCCTGATGGAGCTTTGTCGTTCCACAACTTATTTCAAGTTCAATGACAGCTTTGACAGACAGTAGCATGGTTGTCCCATGTGATCTCCGGTTCAGATATGCGGATGACACTTGGATTAAAATCCATACAAAAGAAGTAGAATGGTTCAGCAGACACATCAACTCTGTGGACAACAACATCAAGTTAAGCTGCGGTGAACATGGAAGGAGATGAAAGCCTCAACATTGATGTTTACAGGAAACCTACTCACACGGACGAGAACCTTCTGTTTGAGTCTCACCACCCACTGGAACACAAACCTTCTGTCTTCAGAACTTTATTCCACCAGGTGAACATGTCCCCACAAAGACAGAAGGAACAGAAACACAACAAAGAAACTCTCCAAACCTGTGGAGATCCTAACTGGACCTTTGTCAAATCAGCAAACACATCCAAAAAAAACATGATGCAGAACAAAACAGAGTCAGAAAAACATTGTCATCCTAGATGTTGTTGGAGTATCTGAAAAACAAAAGGATTTTCTCCAAACATCCTACAAAACCCAACAGGACCCTCAGACAGAGGCTGGTCCATCTCAAGGACAGAACCCCCAAACCCAAACTGAGCGGTGTGTCTGCAGGTCAGTGCAGTGAAGGATGTTCAGACCTCAGATAAACTAACCAACCTGTTCACAGACGCATGGCCCAACACCAGAGAGCAGCTTTTCAGAACCAGATTCAGTGGTTCACCTACACCTCAAGGATAAGGGACAATCTACTGAGGACCAGCAGGTCCAGATGTTGGACAAAGAAGACAGATGGTTTAAGAGGGGGTGAAGTAAGACAATCATGTCAAACGAGAAAATCCAAAGTTAAACAGAGGAGGACATCTCAGATTTCAACTTTCTAAAACTTACAATGTAGCTTCAGTCATGATTCCAGGTCAGCTCCACTCCAATTCACACCTTCATGCAGGTGACCCAAACATCTGTCTGTGAGCCAGCCAGACAAAGAGCCTGACGAGCCTCCGCTGTGAGGGCGAGAAGTTCCAGTCTAACCTACAACTGGATCTACGAACACAACCAGGCCTCTCATGCACTTCTATAAAGCTGTGAACTGCACACACTCCAGACATTTTAGAATTGAACTGTACTTATCTATCTCCTTTGTATCTTATCAAGACACTCAAAGCTCTTTACAACACAATCTGTGCCCTCATTTATCCATTCATACAGCACTCTACTAGATCTCTACAAAGAATTATCAGAGCTTTATCACATTCATACACCAATGAGACACACATCAGAGGCAATGAGGGGTTCAGTGTCTTGCCCAGGGACACTTCAGCATGTGACTGCTGGTGGAATTGAACCCCCAACTCTTGCATTGGAGGACAACTGCTCTAACCACTCAACCACAGCCGCCCAAAGTAAGCTCCAGGATGGAAAGAACAACTGCCAGCTGCCAAATAAAATCACCTTTTCATCATCTTCCTGCAGCCCAGAGATTTATGGAAGTGTTAATCTGTAACATGGATTAACCTGATCAAGATATCATTTTTACATGTTTTTATAATTTCTGCTCAATTATGTAAAAAAGAAAGAAAAACACTAATGAATCTTATGTTAATATTTGAATAAAGTAAAATAAACGAGATAATGAACTGAACATGCTTGTTATTTAAGTTTCTTATTGGTGAAGTTTAGTATCTTTGTTTATGGTCTGTTTTTTAATATTGTTGTGTGTAGAGTACATCCAGCCTGTGTGTCTGCCTGCATACGGTCAAAGACTGACAGACGGTACGATAGGAACAGTGACGGGATGGGGGAACGTTGGATACTACGGTGGGTCGACATGTCCTTCAATCTGTGCTAAAGCTTTTCTGTTGTTTATTTGTATAACACTACATAAATATGCATGGATATATGTTTGTAAAGTTGTGTTTTGACAACTATTTGAAAGTTTTTTTAATAGAACAGTCCTAGAAGGAAGGAAATGATACATAAAGACACATTAGATGGTTGTGTTTTTTAATGTATTTTTTTTACTACAGGCCATCTAGCAGATGTTCTCCAGGAAGCCAGCGTCCCCATCATCAGTGATGCTGTCTGTAACGCTCCGGATTACTATGACAACCAAATCACCACCAGCATGTTCTGTGCAGGCTTTGAGAAAGGAGGCATCGACGCCTGCCAGGTCAGAGATACGTTGGGTTCAGGACTTTTGCACAGAAGTTTAAACGAGTTATTTTTATTTGGTTCGGTAAATTTGATTTCTGCTCTGTCTGTCTCTTATTTTTGACACGTGTTTTTACCATAGCATCATTTTTAAACATTGGCGGCTGTATTTTCTGTGAACTCAGGGAGACAGCGGGGGTCCTTTTGTAGCAGCAGACTGCCTGTCTAAAACCAGCCGGTACCGTCTGCTGGGGGTGGTGAGCTGGGGAACCGGCTGTGCCATGGCCAAGAAGCCGGGGGTCTACACCAGAGTGTCTCGATTTCTGCCCTGGATATCTACAGCCATGAGGGTGAGATATCTACCCTGTTTTGTCTGGATGTTGTGAATTATTGACAAGAAATCCATGTTTATACAATCAGTTTATGAATGTGAATGTTTTTATACAGAACTAAAACATTGGAGATACTCTCTTATTTCTTTGTATTTACAGCGTGAGGATTATGTTCCCTTGTGTGTCATCTCCCCCTTGTGGTCTGTTCCTGCTCTCCTGTTTCTCCAGTGTGTAATTAGCTTCTGCCGTCCACCTGTGGTCTTTCCCAGGTGTCTGTGTTTACCCCCTGTTAGTGTGCCTATATATCCTGTGTTTTGTTATTGATTCCCTGTCTGAGGATTGTCCTCCTTTGGCGCTCTGTTCTGTTATGTTCCCCTCCTTATGAGTAAGTTTTGCTGCCATGTTAGCAGTTTGTTTGTTTGTTTAATAAATTAACTCTCTCTGTGCTACGTGGGTTTTCTCTGGGTATTCCAGTTTCCTCCCACAGACTTAAAGCATGCACGTTAGTCTGATTGGTAATTCTAAATTGGCCCTAGGTGAGAGAGAGAATGGTTGTTTGTCTCATTTGTCTCTGTGTCCCTGTTATGGACTGGAGACCTGTCCAGGGTGTCCCCCGCCTCTCGTACAGTGACTGCTGGACATGGGCACCAGTGACCCCCGTGACCTGAAAAGGGAGAAGGGGGTAAAGATAATGGATGAATGTAATTAAAAAAAAAAACAAAAAAAGTTAAGTCAGGTCCTCTGGACGTTCAAAGAACAAAAACAAAAAAATGTAGAAACGTTTCGTCTTTCATCCGAAAGACTTCCTCAGTCTGAGGTGCTGTATTCAGCTCAGTCTTATAAATAGCACCTTCTCATAGTGGATGAACCAGTTTGCTGCTGACCTGACCCTGTCAGGATGCTAATGGTCCATTGTTAGGCTGATGGTCCTCAATCATATGAACAGCTGGTTTTGGTTGTCGGCAGCAAACTGGATGATCCACTCTGAAAAGGTGCTATTTAAGAGACTGATTATTTTGAGAGGAATAATTCCATTTATTGTCCCTCGTTGTGGAACAAAGAGTGGGAATTGGCAATGCACTCCCTTTGTCTCTCCCTCCATCTGTCCATCTGCCTGTCTGTGTTGCAAGCATGATAGCTTAAAAATACAAGTGAGGTACCAACTTCCACTTTGGCTGCATCTAAGCATAAGAAATGACATTATCAGAACTTGGGTTGTCAAGTTCCATCATTGATCCTCTCGCCAGGATCTGTCCCTCTACACTGCCAAGGACAAGCAAAAATAAATAATTAAAAACCTGTCTGTTGTTCTTCACAGTGTAACTCCTCCCCACTTGAATATCTTGCATCAAAAACATTAAGGTTTTCTTCATTCTCTGTTCAATTCCAGTCCAGAAAAACACAAATATCCAAAACAACAAACATTCACCATTCAAATCCCTCAGGGACATTGGAGTACTGCTTAATTGATTTGTGATAATTCATGCATAAAAAAGTAATAAACCTTTAATATACTCCCCGTCTGTTGTCTTTGGACAGCTGCACTGAAACTTTTGCTGTGCTTAACTGCCGATTCTGATACGTTGACACAAAGCAGACAATTGAGTGAATAACTAGTTTAAAATCTTCTCTTTAGGCCTTGTTGTTTCTGCCAAAAGTAACATTTGTTCTCATTTCTTGAGCCGATTCAGTAAAAAATACCAACCTTAACATTGTTTGACCAAATGTTTTAGCTCCTAGAATGTGACTGCTAAAGAGGCATTAGCTGAAGTATTAACGTGCAGCAGCAGATCAACTGAGGGATGATGTCAGCCTCTGTGTCTCGTCTACTGGAGTTTCTTAAAGGTGTCACTTTCAGATCCTGTACATCGATTTTTTTACACTTTTATTTTTGTTTTCCACTTGTCTCCTGACTGTTATTTATGGACCTACTGCACCACACACAGGTATAATCAGGGGTACAGACTTGTCAGGAACTGAGGAACACTTTGACAGACCCTCAGGAAATCTAAAGAACTGGAGGACAAAACCACTGGAAGAACATCTGGCCTCTTAAAAAGCAACATATAAAGGGGTTAGGGGTCATTTTAGTACTTTGCAGGTATTTTATTTTGATTAAAAAAGAAAACTGTTTAAGCAGTTTCTTCTCAACCCAGCTCCTTTTAAACACACCTGACAGTTCTTTAGTTTTCTGTCTCAACTCAAGACTTGTTTCTCTCAAGCACATCCCACATTTCTTATTCTTTTTTTTCCCCTGCAGAACTATCACAACTCTCCTGGTGTTCACAAAATGGCTCGAATATGAGTTTTCTGCTCTCCTCCTGGATGAGAAGAAAAGAGGACACTTTTCATCGATGACGCTGTGATCTGATGACAGGAGATGGACAGCTGAGTTTTTCTCACAGCTTCATATTTCTGTTCTGACTGAAACATTTTACTGAGGAGTCACCGGTTCTGAGCCTCTCCGCTTCTCCGAACGTCATCAAAAACTGTGGGAAACATGAAACATCTCAGCAGAACGGCGGTGAACTCGTCCAGTTTCTGAAGAGATCTGACAATAAACAGTGTCAGCGTGGCTGGAGAGGATCGAACATTTATACAACCTAAACCAATTATTTTCTCAGATGCACCGAGGGGTTGAGTTAAAACCTGTGATGTCTGAGCTAAGCATCAGTGAATAGATGTAGAAAACGAGCTCAGGTCCATCTGAACTGCTGTGGTAATGGAAGGAACATACAACAACAATCCTTTCTGTCAGGGTTTAGCTTCAGATGAGGTTCTGTCTTCAGAGCTGCAGATGGACGATCCATTTCTACACCTGAAGGAAAGCTTCAGGAGCCGACGATGAAAACATGCAGATAATTGGAAGGTTTGTAAGTTACGACAAAGTAAAAGTGTCCTTTTACAACATAAAGTTGTGATTTTTACCTGCAGTAGATTGTCTTTTATGCAAAAAAACATGTTCATTCTGCACGCCTGGTACAATTGATCTAATCAAAATATCAAAGTCAGTGTGTTTTTATCAGTTTTCTTGTAAATATTCTTGTTGATTAATATTTCAGAAAGGCTGCATTCATATTTTAATACAGACACATCTGACGTTACTGCTCCTGCTGCTGTGAGTGCGTACAAAATATTTCCTGATTGTGGTATTTAACAGAAACCATGTACTCAGTTCATTTACATTTTAGGGTTACATTTAGTTACAGCAAGAGGTGACACAGACTCGTCACTTTTTTTTCCTTTAAAGAACAAAAAGTGACATTTTATTTGTTTTTATATTATTATTTGAAAAAGCTGATGAGTTTCAACTTGACCGTTAAAACACGTTTTCTGTTTTCTGCCAAATAAAATCTCAAGACCAGTTAAAATAACGTTGAGTTGGGTTTTTTTTGTGTGTGTGTGGAACAGAACATATTAAACTGTGTTCAGTCCCAATTACACTGACCAGAACCACCAGCAGGTTAAATAAAGGCTGTATATACATGAATATTTTTTGTTGTTTTAATATAAATTATAAAAAATTAAACAACTCATGGCTTGGATTTTTTTTTAAAATAAATTATAGATATAATTTTATATGTATATGTCAATTTTCTTTATATAGCACATTCAAAAACAACATTTGCCAAAGTGCTTCACAAGAAGGTTAAATATATTTATATTAAATTATTCTAATCATGCCTTCAGTTTAATGAAAAATATTTGAGATTAAATTAAATAACTCCAGTTTGCCTCATTTTTAGCAATCAAATCATTGTGAAACATTTTTATAAATAAATATAAATATAAATATAGAAAGGACGAATAGTTAAGACTTTTGAGCAAGAAGTTTTCATTTAAAACTTTCTGTTTTCTGCAGATATGTTGAATAAAAGAATAAAAACGAAGCTCATCTGGACTGAACCACGGTGGCGTAGATCTCAGAACTGCTCTGCTCCTTTTCTTTGGACCTGAGGAGGAAAAGAACATAAATATACACACACACACACACACATACATACACACATATATATATA